ATGCGCATCAGCGAGAAGCGCCAGCGCGCGCGCTTACGCTCGCCAGCGCGCAGCGCAAGCGCACGCCAGCGAGCATCCTGCCAGCGCACGCCAGAACGCGGCAACAGCTGCCGCCAGCGTGCTCGCGAGCGCCCGCGCCTGCAGCGTGCGCACCAGCAGCGCGTAGGCCACGCCAGGGCACGCTGCCGTGGGCTACATGCAACGCCGCCCCCCTACTCCTCCCCCTCCCTACTGCAACTGCAGCAGTTAGGGGGGGGAGTGGGGAAGGGTACGGGGGTGGCGGGTGTGACTAGCTAGCAGCCATCCGCGCCCTACAGCACCTCACTCGCGGTTGCTGCTGTGGGGGCGGGGGGAGGAGGGTGAGGGGGTGGCGGGAGAGCTTCTGCCACGCCAGCCGCCGCCCCTTCTCCTCTCTCTCTCTCTCACACATTGCAGCGCGTGCTGCTGTGGGGGGGAGGGTGAGGGGGTGGCGGGAGACAGGCGGCAGCACCAATGGCTTCGTCCATCCCCTCCTCAACTCCAGCCGCACCTCTCCTCTCCTCTCCTCTCCTCTCCTCTCCTCTCCTCTCCTCTCCTCTCCTCTCCTCCAGCCGCCTCTCCACTCCTCCTCCTTGCTTGCGTCACCTCCAGCCGTCCTGCCTTGTGGGGGAGAAGTTTGGGGGTGGGCGGGGAAGAGGTTGGGGGGGGTGGGGGGTGCCGTGAAGTCAGCAGCGCCAGTCGCCAGTGAGCCCGTTGCTCCAGTCGCCCGTGGGTCAGTTGCTCTAGCCGTACGAGCGGGATGCTCAAGGTGTACGAGCCCGTTACCCCAGTAGCCCGTGAGCCAGTTGCTCCAGTTGCCAGTGTGCTAGCAGCTTCAGCCGCTGCCCCCCACCCCTCTTCTCTTTCCCGCTCTCTGCACTCTTCCGCTGCGCCTCATGTACCTGCACTGCACTAGTTCCTGCCGCAAGCAGGTTAAGGGGGTGTGTTAAATTTATGTATACCCTGCTTGCTGTTTGTTTTAGTGTAGTTATGTGCATCCTATTGATGGTGGTGTGGTGTACATTGCCTAGTTTCTGCTCTCGTCAATCTATATCTTGTACTCACTTCTCTCTATCAACCCCCTCTTTGGACATTCCAATTTCCCTTGTCCTAAGCTCAAACCCTAAGTCTTACCTCCTAAGTTACTCTCCTATCTTAACAGTAAGTATATACAGAGCCAGACTATGTACAAGTGGGCAGTGACATGTAAGCAGGGCATGGGCGAAAAGGCAAATGACAAACTGCTTTATTACATTCGTGCTTAGCAAGCTTGCTATTTGTCAGCAAGCGATCCCTTAAGCGACTGCTTTTTTATTATAGCTGCAATACCGTAACCTGCAACGTGGCCCTCGTCTTCCCCTGCACCAACAGCAGTACCAGCAGAGTCATACCGCTCACTCCCATTTATATGCTTTAGCCCTCTCCCTTTCGCTGTTGAAATATATTTATATATATTCTTTATAATTGTCAGCAGTGTAGAGTGTAGTACATTTCATTTGCTGTAGGTGGTGTCAGAGGTCCACTGGAGATCCCCGATTGATCCTAGGGAAGGGTTACAGGCTCGTTGTCCTGGGGGGTTATGGGCGCACTGACCCGCTACTTAACAAGCCCTTTTATCCCAATGGTCTAGTGGTTGGGATTCTGACATGGTATCAGAGCAGGAAACCTGTTAGGTTTTTAGGGCCCACCGATAGTTCCGCTCTCTCCTGGCCGAAGCGCCCTTGCACTGTCCGGCCCTGCTCGCTCAGTGTCGTGCTGCCCTGCAGCTACTCGCACTGCCTGCCCTAGCGCGCTGCCCAGCTGTCACGCGCGCCCCTCCTGCCCGCGAGCGGCTACTACCCCGCGCGCCCCGACTGCCCGCGAGCGGCCCTTGCCTCGCGCGCCCCTACTGCCCGCGAGCGGCCCTTGCCTCGCGCGCCCTACTGCCCGCGAGCAGCCCCTGCCCCGCGCGCCCCTGCTGCCCGCGAGCAGCCCCTGCCCCGCGCGCCACTGCTGCCCGCAAGCAGCCCTTGCCTCGCGCGCCCCTGCTGCCCGCGAGCAGCCTCTGCCCTAGCGCGCCCCAACAGCCCAGCGCGTCGCGCCCTGGTGCAGCCCGCGCGTCGCGCTCTGCTGCTCCGCGCGTCGCGCCCTGCTGCAGCCCGCACGTCGCGCCCTGCTGCCCTGCGCATCGCGCCCTGCTGCAGCCCGCGCGTCGCGCTCTGCTGCTCCGCGCGTCGCGCCCTACTGCAGCCCGCTCGTCACGCCCTGCTGCAGCCCACGCTTCGCGCTCTGCTGCTCCGCGCGTCGCGCCCTACTGCAGCCCGCGCGTCGCGCTCTGCTGCCCCGCGCGTCGCGCCCTGCTGCAGCCCGCGCGTCGCGCGCTGCTGCCCTGCACAGCGCGCGCCCTGCTGCCCGCGCCGCCCAGCCCGAGCCGCGCCGCCCAGCCCGAGCCGCCCTGCCCAACCCGAACCGCCCTGCTGCTACTACTGCTGCTGCTGCTACT